TTTTTAAAAAAAGTAATGAAACTAAAGTAATTTTAACTCAAGTAGTGAAAGTTTTTAACAGACAACCAACCCCAAGGAATAACAGTTACTGCTAAGTAAACTGCCTCTTTCAAATGCTTTTTTATTTTTACATTCATGCTGAAGGTGACTTCAAGCAGCGTTGCCCTCCTCAGAGAGAATTACCTCAGTGTCGATCTCTGAGACTTCTTGTGAAAATGAAGACCACACCATCATTCTTCCAAATGCTGCCTGAACAGAAACGTTTGTGATATAGCAACAGGGGCCAAAAGAGCTCTGTTGCAGAGTGGCCTTTGAGTAGAAGGTGGACCGCTCTATCTGTTTCATAGCAATCTTTGCACAGCTGATCATGCTGTTCAGCCACGTTTGCTTCCACTGGAGTCTTCAGCTGCAGAAGCAAGCTGATGGGAGGGAAACTGGTGAAATCCTGTAGTCTTACAAGTAAGACAGCCAAAGATCTCCTTGAATCCAGACTTTGTCTTTATCAGGGTTGATGGCTACAGGCACAATACAGTTAATTGGTGCCTAAAGTGTCCAAACTAGCTGAGGTTTCCCGCTACAAATCCCCTTCCACTATAGGAACTGCATAGCACTGAGTTGCTGACAGACGGGCACAAAAGTTAAAAAAGAGGAAAAAATAACCCAAAGATATTAACATTACTTTGTCCCATTTGATTCATCATTAATTAAACTTGGCCAATCAAAAATAATCGGTGTTTTTAAAAAGATGTAGAGAAGATAATGAATTAAAATAATTTTGCAATGATTTGTAAAATTTGATTGTCTAATATGAGATGCTTACATGTGTATTTAGCAACCAAGTGAATTCAGGGGAAACCTTGTGTGTTTATCTTCTCTGAAAATCGAAATGGAGTATAAAATATTAAATGGTTGTTTAATTGCTTAACTTTAGACATATAAACTCAAAAGGTAGCCTTAGATTGTTTAGTTTTTAGAGTCTACTAAGATAAATGCATTATTATTACTGACACATCCCTGAATCAGTTATGCACATTTATGAAGCAAACTTGGAGCCCTTGAAAACTAGACTTAAAAATTTATATTTTTGCATTTACTAGAATGAAGAAAAATGCTGTTTGAATGCATTTTTGTTTATCTATGGAGTCTGTGGTACTAGCTGAAGTAGAAATATTTTGCTTCTTGGGAATAGCAGATACATGCATAAAATTATTTACCTGAGCCCAAAACTACCCTAATCAACCTCTGAGCCCAGAAGTCAGCCTTTCAGCAGTGGTTATCCTGGATGGATTAAGGGGCTTCAAACTGGCATTTTCCTTCATTCCACCAGTGGATGTCAACAGTAGAACAATGTGAGGAAGCTTCCACCACTGCTACCTTTGCTGAACCTGTTCTGTGGATAGAAGATTTCATGCCCCAGTAAACATATGTTAAAACAAAAGTGGCTGAATAAGGCAACAATAGAGTTACATTATTGTGATTCTTTTGTGCCTTCTAATTACATATTTGTATGTAATTAGCCTAAATATTCACATGCTGTGTAGCTGTGAAATGCCTGAATGTGACAAATACCAGTGCAGCACCTTTCACCACCTTCCAAATCTCTTAATCTGAAGAAGTGGTCCTACAAGCACTGAGATTGAAGATGCTTAATTTCCAACAGGTTGCTGTGCTGTGGTTATTTGATGTTGAGGTTTAAAAGGCTGCAAGTGCCAACTGAAGGGTTTTTTCCTCCAGATGGGAACTATTTATGACTCCTCCCTCCGGGTAGATTCTCCATTTTGTAGTATTTTGGAGGAGGTCTCATGTGCCTTTTCCCTTTGGGGCGTCTTTCCTTTCTGTAGCAGTATGTTTTTATAAAACCTTCCAGAAACTAATTGGGACCTCTTCACTGCATGAAGTTTGGTTGAAATTGGAAGGTGGATTAAAAAGTTATTAGGACACATACACCGTTACACACATGTAAGCATATACATCCTGAACACATTAACCTTGATTTTTCTGTAAAACTAGATAGAAAGGGAATATAAGTGGTGGAGATGAATGAGTAAGCAAGAAGTAAAAGAGAGTTTTGGCCTAGTGATCACTGATTTATATCTAAAACTGTTCTCAACAGTTACAGTTTGAAAGTTAAAGGAAGTTTATGGGGTAACATGGGCTGAATGAAGAGTGGGTTACAATGGCTGGGGTGGCATGCATGTTGAATATTCCATTCTCAAAAGGGAAGGATGCTTTGACTTTTCTTAAAAGTCTGATGAGATGCACAGCTTTTAGCCTCAAAAGCAGTTATAATCACATTGAAAAGATGGAGCTTGCAGTGTTCTGACATTTGCCCCTGTTGCAGGTGCCTTTATCTCCTTCTACATTTGAATTTGAATGTATGGAAATAGAGATTCAGAATTGCCTAATACACCTGCTATCTATTGTCTGTTTCTTTTAAATATGATTTTGATAAAATGGACAAAGATAGAGTTTCATCCCTTGTAATGGGAACAAACAATTTGTGCAGTGTTCTTCAGCGTACATTTTTGAACCAAAGGCGACCAGAAGTGCTGTTGGATGGTACCCCTGTCAGTGCTCTGAACTTCCTCTCCACAGATCAACTCACCTGTAGAATTAAAATGTTAAGACCCAACTGGCAGTGTCTGCACCTGCGGTGCCTACTGGTAGTACACTGTGCACACAGAATGCTTGAAGACAATGATTGCCAGAATAGCAGAAAATGGATTGAGCAAATATTTTTGATTTGTTGGCTAAGAGGAAGAAATGATGTTAAGCTAACCTGGCATAAATGTCCGTACAGGCACTGGTGCTTTTTAGTAAAATAAAAAATGGAATAATTCTACTTTAAACAATTTTTGTTCCAACCTCCAAAGTTCAGTGTAACCTTTTATACATGAAATAATACATGCAGGTATGTTTCTAAAGGAAACATCTTTAAGAAATCAAAAGTTGAATAACATTGTTTTAAAAGAGTCAAAAACATTTACTGTTTTGCAACTGTTCAAAGGCTTTTAATTCTGCTTAGCTTGACTTATCTCTCACTGTAGTGTAAGGATCAAGTATGTCCAAAGTATAGAAAGGCAGTGGTGTGAAATGACAAAGGTTGCTTTTCATCAAGGCAAGAACAGAGCTTATTTGGCCCTTTTTCTTGTACGCAATGTAGATGGCAAGATAATGTAGTAGACTGGGAGTGGGAGAGAAGACAACAACTATTTCACAGGAAAATGGGAAATGTGAGAGAGAAAGGGAGCTTGCAGGTTCAAAAAGGCAAAATCAAAGGACAAAGCAAATAAGAAGGGGAAAAGCAGTTACTCCAGACAAAGAAAAACAAAAGGAAGCAAGAAATTGAAAGAATTTAAAAGAACATTGGGTAGACTTTCTTTGGTAATGTAAACAACCATAGCTTTGTTTGCTATCTTCACTCAAACTCTTCCCATTTATGCCAGCAACATATAGTACAAAGGACAAAATCACTCTGGAATGGGAGACATGATCGAAAAGAAAGAAAAGGGTGTGGAAGCGAGAACACACCATATTTTGGTCACAGAATGTCATTTAATTTATGTTCCAGAAACACACATGTATTTCCATAACAGATGTTTTTGGGTATCTAAGTTTGGGTGAAAGGGATGGGATGGCTGGTTATTTTGAGCACTTGTTATATTGCTATTACTAGATAATGACCCTGGATTATGTAGTTAAATATTAGAGTTGCCATGGTTGCTAGCTATATCTTATATTCTTAGCACTGGCTGGTTTTCTCTTTTTCCTCCCCCAGACAATTTTAATATAACTCTCCAGAAAATATCATTTGATCCCCACCTGGTTTAGGATCACTCCTTTTCTTTGCCATGGATATGATTTCTTTTCCTTCTTTTACACATATTACAGTAAACATGCAGTGGAGATGTCTGCTTAATTTTGTGGGATCCTTCCATATGATTTAGCATGCTCTTGTGACCATAGGACTGTTTCTAAGGTCTCGAGTCCAGGTGATTTCCCCAGGCACACTATTTCTGGAGTGTCTTTCCCAATGCTGTTGAGACAAGTTGTCTTCAGACTTTCAGGTACTGAAGAAAATAATTGGTGTAAACCATAAAGGCAACCTTTTATCTTAATAATTTTCCCATTCTAGACCTGTTTTTTCATCATCTCACATTTATCCAAAATACGTATAACTTGCCAAATAGCGAAAAAGACAGCTTTTCTAACACAAGGAGAAACCTCAACTTGCCCTATTAGTGTGATGAATACTTACAGACCTTTTATGTGCTGGCATCCAAGACATTTTCATTTACATTAAAACAGGCTGTCTCATTGCTTTAAAAATTAATTTGTAGACTTTGAACATGCAAGGGCAGTCTCCTCAGACAGCAATTACCTTGCAGGCCCTCATGATTCCTCCTGACGTGAAAGCCATATCAAATACGGGAAGAGTAAATGACCTCATGGCTACCAAAACACACAGACACGTGTTAGCTGGGAAGAAATGTGTAGTACCACAGATGCATAATCCTGAATACGTTGTTCACAACGGGCGAAAGACAAGTCTGCCTCTTTGCACTGTGGAAGCTGTTTTGCTTGAGTCCAGTCAATATTCCAAACACACTTATCTCCAAATAGATTTATCTGCTTTGTCTGTCACTTTTCTTGGTATTTATTCATTGTGAATGTAACTGTAAAGGAACTCTGTTCTCTGCATGGTCAGTCATTAAGGCCAGGACAAGAGAAATAATTTCCCAAAGACCGTGCTGGGTTTTTCTGCTGCTCTGGTATGGCTCATGGTTTATTGGTTTATGCTGCAAGTCGTCTTCCCTTCCCACCCAAACCCCTCCCTGAAAAAGAACACTTAAAGTGTACATTACAGATTGACTGAAAGCTTGAAGTACCTCAGCGCCATTTTAGAAAATACCTTATCGATGCTGTTAATATTTAAACTCAGGGTAACCATTAACTGAAAACACAGATTACACAGTGCTAGATCTATTTATTAAGCATCCATAACAAAAGCTAGATGGTGCAAGAGCTTAGTATGGTGTTCTTTAACCTCTGGAAGCTAAGTTCAAATCCTGGATTAGATCAGAAGCAAATGTTAGTTACTGTCCTCATCCTTTTGTGAGCTTTGTAAACCACACCATTCATAACATTTAGCAATTCCCTGGTACTCTAATTTTAGATCTGTGTGGCAGGCTGGCAGTATTTGCCTGAAACATCACCCTACCCTGTAAACAGGTGTCCATCCTGATGGGAAGGGAATAAGTAGGTTCTGCTGACTCAGAAGTGGGCAATTTTACTACCTCAGTGCAAGGAAGCTGCTTTCCGCAAGGGAGGTCCTAGGGTGTGCACCACAGCCATGAGTATAGTTTGATTTTAATGCATTTATATTTTGTTTAATAGCAAAGCTGAATCCCGGGGGGGGGGGGGGGGAGGTTATCAGTACTGCTTGAGTATTACTGGAGAGCAGCACAAAAGCCATGCCTGCACATAGCCTCGTCTTATCAAATCAGGACTGACATTCGTTAATAGAGCTGTCTGAGTTTGCACACTGTCTGTCTGTGCCCCTCCTGGCTCAAGTCCAAATAGAGTAGTTAGTACCTTTCTTTTACACGTACTGAAAGTCCCCGTGGAAAGGGTTTACCTGCTTTTAAGATGCCGATTACTTATTAGTGTGTTCAGTGCATCTCACTTTAAGAACCTCGTAAGCGTAAGAAAAGTAAGGAAGAATGATTCTGAGTTAATTTGCTTGGAACACTTCTGAGTCAACTGTCTGTAATTTGAAAAAGCTTAATTTAGGCCTTCAGTCCAGCATTGCACCAGTAATCGCAAAAAAATATTGCTGAAGCTCTCTTTTGGTGCCAAGAGACAAAAGTCTTCTAGAGGCAGCCCTAAGAGCCTGAAGTGAATGAAGCTGTATAGCTGGATTTGTAAAATCTCATTGTCCCTAAATGCATTTCTCACTCTCTAAAGCATACATGCAATTACTCCTTTGTGGCCTATAGTCCCATTAATCGGAGCTGGAATATCGAACTGTCTAGTAAGATCACTTCATCTCGGCCAATTTGAAAATTAGTTGATCTAGCATGGCCCAAGCAAAGAGAAAGGAATCTGTTAATGGCTTGCTGCTTTTAAATGTTTTACAACTTTATTGTGCCAAATGTTAATAGAATTCTGCTGAACAAAAATAAACTCTTGATATTTTCTCTTGAAGACTGACACCCTGAACTGCACTAACTGTGACTGTAAACAGCTAAGCCATGGGCAAAGTGTGCTGTCACTGAAAGCTGTAGTGAAGACAGAGGAAGATCAAACCGATCCTAAAGGGCAGCCAGATAAAAGTGTTTTTCAAAACCTGGGTGCTTACAATTTTGAGGCTGTAAGTGGCAGTTTTGCAGCTATAAGTAATGTAAGTGATCAGCAAATACTGAAATGTTATCGTTTCATGAATGCTCTGACCTGTGGCAATAGAATTAGTGATCTGCCACAATTTCCTGTCTGAAAACACTGGTCTAACTTGACAAGAGGGCTCCTTTAAAGACTGCAGCAAAAGCTGTCCACTTTGAAGGCATGACATCTTCCCACTGATGATTTACAAGCATTGTTTAGACATGACTGAAAAATATAGTCACAGGGCTACGAACAGTTAAAGATTAACTAATCTCTGAGACAGAAGGATCAAAAGAACCTTTTAGAAGAGATTTCCTGTAGCAGGGGTGAAAAAATGATTTGGCTTAAAGGGGAAAAAAAGCAGAGGCCAGCCTAGCCTGCTGGGTAACTAAGTGGAGAGCGATTAGATACCCTGTGAGTTACTCATGCCTTCAGTGTGTTTTGTTTTAAGACCTCTTTTATCTTAACTCGTGCTGAGGTAATTTCAGTTGATACTATACAGGAGACACCAGCTCCTGGCCAGCTCTGGGAACACAGGGCACAGTGTGACTCCATCCAGGAAGAAGCGACAGCTTGAATCCTCCTCTGTCTGCTCTTAAAAAGACCAGGAGGGGTCAGGTTTGCAGCTCTATCACTCTTCCTCAGCAGAAGGGCTGAGGTCTCAGCATAAACGCATTACAGAGACAATACATGTAGTTCAGATTTATGTGCCTAGTATATACCAGAATAATTTTTCTTTGCAGCAGAGAAAAGGAGACCAAGCGTACTTCACAGAATAGCCTTTCAAATATGTTTCGTATTGAAGGAAAAATAAATTGTTGTTCTTCAGGCAGAATATTAGCATGCGGTCTCCAGGAACTTGCTTCTCCCCTGTGAACTGCACGTTCAACTCTTATTGAAGTTAGCGATACTTGAAGGTCCTCAGAATTTTGCAGGTTTGGTCACTGAACAGCAAACCTATTGGAGATTTTGGCAGCTTCATCTTTCAAAGGGGAAAGGGGGACTCTAACAAATTAATTTTCTAGGTCTTTGTTCACAAGAGCTCAAGTCATGTTAACAGCCCATAGTCCAGCTTTAACCTAACACAGGATGACAAATTTTTGCATACTGCCATTTTTAATCCTTCATTCTTTTTCATAATTGTCAGAAAGGAGCTGATTGCCAGGCTGGAACAAGTGGAAAAGGAAAGCATGGATGCTGCTCAGCTGGCTAAGGAATACGCAGAACTGACAGAGGAGAACCGAACACTGAAGCTGGCCCAGACACAGTGTGTAGAGCAACTGGAAAAGCTCAGAATACAGTACCAAAAAAGACAGGGGTCCTCATAACTCTCAACTAGCTTATGCGAGGCAGTTAATACAGAATTGGTCCTGTGCTGGAAAGAGATTTTAAAATAAAGGTCTGTTTCATATGTTATAATACTTTACTACAGATACAGAGTATGTAGAAGTCTATATTTGATTTAATGCTTGCCAGCCAGTAGCTTAATATAATGGATATTTCATCCATTATATAATGGATATTTTATTTCAAGTAACATAATTGAAGTTAATCTATCCCCATTATATGTTCTAGTAGATCAGGTTTCTTTTCTAAACATATTTCTTCCAATTTAAGAAGATATGGACACACTAGAAAATGATATAAATAGTCTCTGTGTTGGGAATTTGGACCATACTAAGGCATACAGCAGGGACAATGTTAATATATGGAATACATGTATGTTAATTTTAGTTTGGTGAAGATTTTTTAAATTATTTTCCTCATGCCTAAAGCGTTTGGAAGTTATCTTAAAACAGATCTCCTCACTGGTAAAAACTATACTTTATTATCCCATATCAACTTTACATTGTTGTATAAAATCTGAGAAATTGCACATTAAAATTTGAAGTAACATAATTCTTTTTTATCAAATGAGTGTACTGCCAGTAATAGTTTCCAAGTTATGAAATTAAAAGGAAACAGATGAGATCAAACTTTCCTTCCTCAAGCGTAAAGATCGCTTGAGAGCCTTTTAATTGTCCTTTTTGGCATGCAAGAAATGAAAAATTAATATATGAATACTACCATCATAGTTTCAACTGAGAATACGTCAGTAGAAGCACTGTGAGGATATTTTGTTCTTATTTTCTGGTCTGTTTTGAAACATAAGTGGCTGTAAGTAGGGACAGGAATTCCGTGATATACAAATAACCTGGAAGTAAAATGTTAGTTTTACTTGCTCTATTTATCCCTGTATTTTCCTAGAACAACTGAAAATTCTTTGTTATACTTCCATTTCTATTCATACAGTATTTTTTTCATTAAAAGCGGATATAGAAAAGCCATTTTATGTTCTGAATGTTCTTAAATCACCCTGTATTTTTGACTCTGCTTGGCAGATGCAGCTTGTTACATCTTCATGAGGTTGGAATTCAACTTGATGTGTCATTAGTACTGAAATATGTCTCAGTAACTGAAAACTATGAACTTAAGATTTCCGCCAGAACTTTAGCTTTGATTATTATCACTAATCTATTATAAGAATGGGATTTTATGTTAATCAGAACAATTCCTGGGGAAGTCTTTTGGCACCTAAATGTTCCCCAGTAATTCCAGCAGCAAAGGGGACAAAAAAAAAAATACAAGCTGCCCTTTATTTCTCTGTGCTAATGACCTACAGCATTCCCTGCAGCACAGGCGTGAAAACAGGCTCGGCTCCACGTTGCTACAAACACCTGATATTACAGTAGGAGAGTATGAGGCGGCAGCGGGAGAGGACAGCCTTGTCTCCACTTCTCCTCCTGAGCCGCTGGAGCAGGGGCAGCGTACGTGCCCGGCACTGCTGACTGCCTTACCCTGGCCAAAGCGGAGACAAGAAGGGAAATCGCCGCTCCTGAGGCATGTGCTTTCTGCTGTGATGCTCCGCGGGCAGCGTAACACTGTATTTATTCCTCTTTCATTGTTATCTGAGGGTCCAGTTTTCGCTATATCTTGTGAAAGCTGGAGAGAAAAAAAACATAATGAATAAATAGCACTTGGAATGTCAAGCCTGGGAATGCTGGAAAAGCCGTGTCTGAATTTTGCACTGATGGGAAACATGGCCTGTACAGACTTCAGGGCTTTGCTTTGAGCACAGGACACTGCAGAATCTAGGATGTATTATTTTTGTCTGTATTTATGTGTTTTGAACAAGAGGATTCTCATTTTCAAAATCAATTTGTCATTCAGAGATTTTTTCCATCTAGCTTTGAAAATATCAGCCAGTCTGGTGATTTCAGTGAATTCATTGAAAACTGTACAGAGTACATAAAATTACTTCATTAACAGACTGTTTGTGGATGCAGATGGATCGGACAGCAGAACTTTGCTTACAAGTAATTGGGTTGACCTTGAAATTTTATATTTACGTGCAGCCATTATGCTTTAGATGTCAATAATAACAGATCATACTCTCGGTGAAAAATGTGAGATAGAGCCACAGTCATGTGGAGAAGGAAAGTTGGGCCTCATTTATGACACACAGCAATTTAAGACTAGCCAGGGAATATGGTATTTCTAACCTAAAGGTACTGACCAGTATAGAAGTCTTCATGAAACATTTTTCCAGGTGTGCAGACACCAAATTTGTAGTGTGGTCCAGCTATCAGCATGGATAAATATGGAACTCTGAAAACATCCCAACTGAAGCCAGAAATTTGTATTTAATCTGGACTGTGGTTATTTGCAATCAATTTTTCCTCCTACTTTTAGTTATAGCGAAAGGAAAAAAGAACTGCTTTGTATCAATATGTTTGCCTGCCAGCATGGATGCTTATGTGGCTAAGAACAGTGACTCAGAAAAAGTGCATCACAATCCAAATGAGTAAAACTGATATATAAGTACCAAGGAAGGAAAATTAAAGTATCTCATGAAAATGATTTTTTAAAGAAAAAGTATCAGGTGAAATGGGATTCAAAGACAGGAGGTTAGACAAATGGAATTTTCCAAAAATACTCGTAGGCAAGTGAAATTAAAATGCAGAAAAGTCAACATAACCCTGTTCACTGGAACAGGTTGCCCCGAGAAGTTGTGGCTGCCCCATCCCTGGAGGTGTTCAAGGCCAGGCTGGATGGGGCTTTGAGCAACCTGGTCTAGTGGGAGGTGTCCCTGCCCATGGCAGGGGGGTTGGAACTAGATGACCTTTAAGGTCCTTTCCAACTCTAACCATTCTGTGATTCCATGATGATGATTCTATGAACCCAGAAAATCATTCAAGTGTTACAAAGAGTAAAAATGGCCTTCTGAGAAGTAACTTGTATCTATCGTCCCTCTCTTGCTTTTTTTAATCGAGAGCATAATAATGATAAACACTTTCATAGTCAATAAATCTCCAATTTTGACATGCTGAATTTTTCTCTAGATGTTACTTTGAACTGCATAGCTCTGCTGACTTAATAGCTGAAATTAATTTTTTTAAAGAAAGTGTTTGCTGGTTGTATTTATGCTGTATTTTCCAAACAGACAGTATGATTTGTGTCCTTCTGGAATTTAAGGAAAGAACTTAAACTGGCCTGCTAGCTAGGTCCATTGTAAGTATAGCACCGTAAAAAAGAGTTTCATACAATTATTTCAAAGATATTTTTACATCGTCCTTCGCCCGGGAACTTAGAAGCCAGTTTCAGCTTTTGAGTTCAGCTGCTAATGAAACCTTCAATTTTATAACTTCTGACTACAGCCTGTGACAATTGCGGTTGCATTCAGCAAAACAGTGGGGCAGTCCGAGGTTTTCGCTGCCCATTCATCAGTGGTCAGAAGGCAAGGAAAGACATGTGAAAGGCTCAGATGACAAAAGAAGTTGCTAAACACATACAGCTACATAGACACAGTCTGTTACACAGATAAAGCGTATTGCTGTTAGCCAGGTTATTCAGGTTAGCAAAAGTAAGCATGCCGCTAGGATGACAAATGCATTTGCTGCAGACCACTTAAGAAAACAGTGAAGTACATGGGTTTAAAATAACAAGACCTGTGCTTTCCATTTCCTATTATTACTAGCTAACTTCCTTCCATCCTAACAAACGCTGAACAAGCTCAATTTAAGTATTCCAGTTAGCAAGGATATGACTCATGCAGTCCTGACACAGCCAGAGGCTAGGGCGATTTTACACTTGAAAAGGCGGGGAGATAAGGACCTGCAGGTTTGGGTTTGGCGGCTTTGTCTTAAATGTTTCTCTTTCCAGGATTATCTTTATTCTGGCTGGTTTTGTGAATTAATGATCTTTGGAAGTCTGTCACCTCCCCCGAGAGGCTTCATTGCCATCTAGGCCTTTGTGAGCAGTACAGGTTGTTCATGGCGGGTACAAATACGCCAGAGCAGGACACAGAGGTGTCCCCAGCCTGCCTTTGGGCCCGGTGATTGGGGAGCTCTGGCACGTGCCCATTTGCTGCTCCAACACCAGTCACAGGCCACCTTGCAGAAAGGAGCTAGTCGCAGTCTTAGTGGTGGAGTCACTTGGTGTCTTTTCCCACAGCAGAGTCTTTGCTTGTTCAACGCACAAGACGGAAGCGTCTTGAAGAGCAGCCTCGACCTTACCCTTTCCTCCACCGAGTCCCTCAGTTTTGCAACGTTAAACTGAGTGTTATTGAGATGGTCCTTCAGATGCCCACCAAAACTGTGCAGCTGACGTTTTAAACTCAAAGAAGTCAATTACTTTATAAGAATGAAAAAAATGTGCCTTGCTTGGGAGAGTGCCGGTCACCTCTAGGTTCTTCAGTGCTCTCTACAAGGAGTGTCACGCGTTACTCATACCCGTATGAATGAAAGATGACAGTCATTCACAAATGACTGTTAACCTCGACCCGGGCTTTCTAGACTGCACAGTCCGGTGGTTTACACTGTAGAAAGCACAAGATTTAGTGTATAAGTCACTCAGCTTTTCTACACACCAATCACCAGTTCCCCCTTCTAAACCTCAGTTCCTTTAATTCCCCCCACCCCCCCGCCAGACCACAGCCCGTGCATCTGTACCCCCTCCTGAGTAAGCAACATCAGTCTAGAGCTCAGATCCAGTTGACTGGTGATCTCATGACGTGGTCTGATGATCGCCGTGTGCCTGAGACGGTTTCCAAATGGCACAGCCGTACCATGTTTTGGGATTCGGTGCTGGTATCCGGCAGCGAGGCACGCTGCTGGCCGGTGGGCGCTGGCGGTGAGACAGGCTTGCTTGCTCTGAATGGGTTAGGACAACAGAAAAGCAGGTAGTCTGTGGATTTAGTTATTTGTCGGAATTTTGTATTAAATTTTAATACAGAAATTAGGGAAATGAAATGAGGATGTGTGTGCTGACGTAACACATGTGCAGCCAGATGCCAGGCTGTGCCGTGGGTGCTCAGAACGAGTAAAGCGATACGAGAACTGTAAGTGATGGAAAGGAAGTAGTTACAGCTAGGAAGAGGAACCGGTGAGTGAGCTGCGGGCCTTAACTGCTTGCTGTCTTGCTTTTTGTGGCTTGCACCGGTGGGATGTATAGGCTGTTATCCTTAGCTGAACATTAAGAAGGTTTTTTTGGATGTTTCCCAAAGCTTTTCCAAGCCTAGTCTACACAAACATTTTATACGGGAATATTTACTTGATTAAGGTTATGTTTTTGTGTGATACGTCTAGTATCAACACAGCTATACTATGATACAAAGATGCTCGCAGTATTGCAGATGGTTCTTCTATAGAAAGAGGAATAACCAGTATCACTATGGGACTCTATTCCCCTAATCATAGAATCTTAGAATATCTCGAGTTGGAAAGGACCCATAAGGATCATTGAGCCCAATACCATGCCAACTGCTGTATTTGCACTGAAGATAAATAAATCGCAGCCTTGATAAATAGCCTATCTATAGTAACCACGACTGTGAAGCTTGAGCACTTTGGTGCTGAAATAAATGCGTCCCCACTAATGGGCTTCTGCTGCTTCCATTGCACAAGTAGAGTTTGGTGCTTTTATTAACTAGATTATTTATTAACTGCTTATTTATTAATTGCTTTTATTAACTAGATTTATTAACTAGATCCCCAATTACCCACACAACGGGACTGACACGACGTTCAGCGATCGAAAACCTTCCACTTCTGTCCTGTGACTTTCCTACCAGCGTATGACACACCTCAGTGCACAACCCAGATTGCCCTGTGCCTACAGACTTTCTCCACAGCCACTTCATCGCAGTGCTCTCCCCTGCTTGGTCCTTTGACTCTCGCCTGTCACATTCCTTTGCTGTGTTGGGATAGCTGAAATAAGTCAACCGCTCTGAATTTTTCAGGGTAGTCAGAAGCAAATGCATCATTTAAAAAC